TTCTCTGCTTGTCATATTATTTGCATTCACCCTCTCTTCTTCCACCCCTTTCCTTTACATCTCTCTAACCCCAGTTCCTTCCCTCCTCCCCTATCCCTCCCATCACACCCCCTTCTCCTCTCCTTCTCATCTACCCCTCCCATCACATCCCCCTCCCCTCCCCCCCCCCCAGGTCTAGGTGTTAGTGCCTCTGGGGCTCTGACGCCACACCATTGTGCTGCCTGACGCTCTTGATCCTCTCTCTGGTCGATGATCACACGAACACTACCGCTTACATGAGGGGGGGGGAGGTAGAAGAGCGAGGGGGTAAAGAAAGAAAGGGGGAGCTAGAAGAGAGAGAGGGAGTAGAAGAGAGAAAGAGGGAAAGGTGTAGGTGTGAGGAAAAAGGAAGAATAACCGAGGAAATAAGGAAAGAAGGGAATAACAAAATCCAATCACTTATTTTATATAATATTTTAAAGGTTCCTTATTGAAAAAAAATGCGTATCATAGCTTATTTTCTCTATAGCCCTAATAATAGTGAGAGGATAAGAAAAAATAGACAAAAAGGTGGATCTAAGATTATTATATTTTTTTGACAATTTTCGAGAGTAAAGATGAAAACAAGAGAGATTTTATACCTTAAAAATAGAACGCAGGTAAAAACACAGAGCGTTGCTATCACTGTCCAGGTAGATTAATTAAACCCGACAGGAGAAGGGAGGAAAGGGGAACATGGCAAAAATAATAAAAACAGACTTAATTTACGAGAGCTATATAAATTACGGAAAGGTTAATAAAGCAGGGGAAGACGAGAGAGAGAGAGAGAGAGAGGAATGGTGTCGAGGCGCTTGTCTTTTGTTTGTACCGTGACAAGTGAGCATCAGGAAATGTAGGAATGTCACTTCTCATATTCTTTATAATTCACAAAGGTTCTGATAATATTACTCGTAACTGTATAACGTCGAAATTATTACTGAGACTCTAATTTAACTAGATACTTAACAATAACAAAAAATAACATAAATAGCTTAAAACAGAAAAATAGTTCAAGAGGTTTTGCACAAATTTACGCGGGAAATTTGCTGTCAAAGTCCTTGTGAATCCGGACCCTAACAGAGAACGTCAATAAACCCCTAAAATTATATAAATCGGGATTGAAAAGAATATAGGAGTCAGGGGACGTGTGATTGTCTTTTGTTTATGTGGTGTTGAAGCTTCTTATTGAACCCCGCATGACTTGTAATCCTCTAAGCTCCTTAAAAAGATTGAATAAGGGTATTAAATCTCACTTGTGTTCGTGGTATGTATCCGGGATATAAATAAAGTAAGTCGAATGTTACCTTTATTTTAATGGTGATTTTAGTCTATAGAATTGTAAGTAATAACTTTGAGGTCTATTATTTTGGTTTAAATTGTACCACTGAATTTAAACGCTTCATTTTAATATCTCAACAATTTATCATATTTCCCAATTAACAACTTTCCCATTTAGCTTCTCTTCCCTTTCCAAATTTTCCAATTATTTCAGCCTCCCCTTCCCACCTCCCGTAGTTTATAATTAGGCATGATACCCCTCTCTAATTCTCCATTAATTAAACACGTCCCGAGGTCAAAATGGTTTAAGCCCGCGACCTTGAAGACGTTAAGATGGCGGGCGACCAGCGGCAGGAAGGCGGGAGGGAAGTCGGTGGACGTTGGTATATGATGATTTAATCGATGAAGAATATATTATTTTTACAAAAGAAGCATTTTCCTAGCAAGTAATTTTGGCAGTTAAGTTGTTTTTCGTGTTTAATAAGAAGATTCGTATTTAAAAAAATATATATTCTTTGAACGAACTCAATTTTATGCCAACATGTTATCCCTTAGTTAAACTGTCAACGAGCTATACCGTGAGAAGGTAAATAAAAAGGAGACGATCTAGTAGAGGGAGAGAGACCATGGAGGAGAGAAGACAAGGAAGACATGATTTGGGTTTTGCGTGGCGTGTAGATATCCTTCCCTCCTTCCCTCCCTCACCCACAGTCTTAGCCAATAATAACCTCATAAATTACAGAAAAAATATACCTGAACCCACAACATTCATGGAGATATTACCATTGTTTTGTGGGGGGGGGGGCGTTTATCTCAGTTTTGAACGTAAGATAAATTATTAACCTTGGGTATGCTGGTATAATACTGTTATAATTCTCATATATAGTTGTTAAGATATAAGTGTCATCAACTTAGGGTGAAATTAGGACATAAATAAACTGGACAACACAACACAATAACGAGAAAAAATCAATGCATTATGCGGACATGAAACAGAAGAATACATATAGAACATAAGATAGTACAGGTAACAATATTTGGGCAACTAAGGACAGACAAAGCGACGAAGAACACGGACATGTACAAGGACAAGACACTACGTACATACTACATATCACATGAACATCAGCACAGAGAATGTACACACAGAACCTCAAGAGCAGAGGAGAAACAACTAAGTTACTGAACATCACAAGACACAGAAGAGACAAAGAGAACAAACACACAAACATTCAAAATATATATATATAGAGAAAATATACATATATGTGAGGTATATACATTAGACATGCATAAATCAAAGCAATTCGCATAACAAAGTATATATATATATAAACGAATGTATATTTAATGGTGACTATCAATCAACAACAGTGAGAAGCGATATATTCCATGCGTTTAATAATAATAACAATAATGACATAAATATAAATATGATGCAAACTTGAAGCATTACTTATATACAGAAGGTGCAAGTAAGCTTATTATAGAATGTAAAAATAAGTGAGTAATCTTCCTTTATAAATTTGGTTTATTGACAGAAAAAATCATCGTAACTTGAGAGAGTCTAAGTATAAAACTGGGTATATTTCTTTGACATAAATACTCGTGTCAATTCCTCTGATTATCATCCTCCTCCCTACCTTCTATTAAATACCTTAGCATCCTACTTCACAATAGCGTCAACACGTATTTACAAATTACATCTTCGACCAATTATATGACAACTTAAGATATATATATAAAACCCCAATTAAAAACACGACACAAAAACTAAAAAAAAAAAATCTGTTTTAGAATCCGTAGTGAATTCAGTAATTTTTTCCACAGTGAATTAGCCCGTAAGTGTAAATTAATACTGAAGAATAGACAGACTGGTGGTGGTTAGGTGTGAGTGTGAGACAGAGAGACAGGGAGCGTGTTTAATGCCAAGATGCTGGTGTAGGAGTGTAGAGGTGTGTGTGTGAGGAGGTGGCGGCGGTGGTGGGGTATTGGTTCATGTCGCAGCCCAGCACATCACCAATACACATACACACATTCGTCTGCCTCAGGAACGTCCATAGATTCATGAGGCTGTGTTTTAGCGGTGAGTGAGCTGGTGGGGGGCGAGGAGAGGACTCAGAACCGACACAACAAGTCAGTGTAGGTGAAGGTTGTTAAGGCCGGAACTAGCATATAAACAAGTCTTCTTTTTTTTTGTAGATTCAAGTCGATATCAGTCTGGCAGATGTACATAGCAGGTCTCTTACTGAGTTAATGTTTACACTCAAGCATTGTTTGTTTATCTTAGTAGCTTGGCTTAGATCAGTCTTAAGGTGACATTATTACTCTAAGCAGTTCCGCTGAGTTATTATTATGCTGAAGCTATTAGTTTATATCGCCAGGTCTGCTGATTTAAGGCTTATAATTGAAGCCTTGTTAATTAATACCAAGTTTTCTGGCTAGGAATTTAATAATTTAGTCATTATTTACTAAGAAATAAATATATTTAATTAAGTCTTATAACGAAGCCATTGTTTACGTCATAAATATATACAGAATCTAATATATATATATATACATATATATACTCAATACATGTGTTTATCTAAATAATGCTGGTAGCTATGAAAAAAGACCATTTTAGGTCATAGACGTAAATCATGAGCTAAGACCAAAGAGTAAGACCGTAATCCTGCTGAACGCGTAACTGAACAAGAGAAAAAAAAAGTGACAACGATTACACAGATGTTTTATTACATTGTTCACTTTGTAATGCATTAAATTATTTACTACAACAAGTTAACGTTATGAGAAAGCTTTAAATTATCTTCCTCTTCCTACATAAATATCCTAGAGGTCTATGTTTCTTGTTTTTCTCACGTGACATGAAATAATGATATGTCTTGGCCTATGTTAATGGTACAACACTCAGACACCATTAGGCTTAAGAATACTACAATGGGGAAAGCTACTGGTATCATTTGTTTTTATTTACAAACATAAGTAATTTTGTTGGAACTAGAATATCATGATTGTCACCAGACTTTCAAGAAAATTCCAATTCCAAAAGGTAGTAAAGTCTATTACTTCTGCACAAGTTAACTCCCAACACTAGCTTTTGTGGTAGTTTGGTAGTTAGTTAGTTATACACTTATATATTTATAGAATTGGTCCCGTATCGATGTGATTATTTTTTGTTTTAAGTTTATAATATATACAAGTCTACTCTATGTAGTGTGATGAACTACAGAAGCACAACAACAAAACGACATTAACTCAGTCGTTTACTGAGAATGTAAACATATAGGTCCCGTCACTAGGAGGTAAATATGGACAATATTCTCTCATCTTGTGGTAGACACGGGGACCTTACCGAACTTTATGACCTCACATATATTGAGTGCTGAAAAGTAGAAGTGGTAGAGAAATATTACGTGCTAGTGAACTGGTGTGCTGTTGACAGATCAATGAATTGTACTTTTTTTTTCTCTCTCTCTCTCTTTCTGGGGGTTTACACGAGGATATTTGGTTTTTTTTTTCCTTCAGGTTAGGTTTCTTTTTGTCATTAACAAAAGACATTATATTTAAAATCATACTCAACATCAACATACATATGATACAATATAATTCTATACAAGTATGTCATCAACCGTGAAAAAAACAAATAAACGGTGTAGTATTAAAGAAAACGGCTGTGCGCGAGAGGGAAAACTGAGGTCTACCTTGAGGGAAGTCTTGATATCCTGGTCACCCATGGCCACCGCAGCGGCCCTGTCCTTGTCACAGTAGATTTCTTCCCTGCCAGGAGCCCCCAAGTGGCCCATTAGCCTCTTCTGCCTGAGCTCCGTCGCCACAAACCTGTTAACCATTTTTCCCTTAAGGGTGCGCGCTCCTTCGTCTGGATCCTCTGGGTTCCTGAAATAATTAGGGCGAGGAGGATGTAATGAACGAGTGTGTCTGAGCCACGCCATTACATAGGAATCGTAAATTAGCATTAAGAACGTTTTGTCTTTGAATAATAAAATAATTAATGATATAACAGTCTTGTGAAGTCTTTATCTGAGAGAGCTCATTCCTCAGTGGTGAAAAGTTTGAACTGTAACATACATAAGTAAATTACTTACCTTATTGTTGTTATCCAGACGTACTTAAATATTATCACTAGAAAACTATGGTGTCTTACCTCCTCTGGCGGCATCGTTGGTCTGACTGTTCCCTCTACCTTCTTAATCTATATTTTGTAATGTTTTAATGCACTGTAGATGAATTTCAGTTTGAGAAAAAATTTGCCCCATTGTATCAGAGCTTACCTTGTTGGTATTATAAAAGCCTACCAACGCTTAAAATAAAGTTTTTTCAGGGTTATTGGATCATCTCCATTTTGAATGTTTCACGGAATTTAGAGCCAAAAGCAGATTTTATTCAGACGCCTACAGAGAGTGACCTAAAGTGGAGTCCTGGGTCTCACCTTCCTCGTCCACCACTAGACTTGCTCCGTCCTCTTCCTCGGCCCCTTACGGCACCTTTACTCAAGGTTCCCAGCCCTGCCACACCATCCTGAAGGAGGTGTGCTTCAAGCTTTAGGGTGTGGAGGCCTGGTGGTGGTGGTGACGATGGTTCGTGTGGTTTGTTTCTGTTGGTGATGCTGCTGAATGGTTTATTATGTTACTGGGTTGTGGCTTTACGACCTGGTTTGATTATGTTGTTGTTGGAGGTGCTGAAGACATTGTATCGTCTGGTGGTAGTAAATGTAGCCAATAAGAAAGTGAATTATAATGAACCTGTAGTTGTGTTGAGTTAACTGTTGTGGTGTTAAGTGTTAGTACTGTCATTAAGTGGTAATTTGTGAATGTTGTTTTCAAGAGTGCAATTATTTGGCGTAATTACTTGTGACATGCTATATAGGCTGATGAGGTTAGATGTGATGAGGGGTGATGGCACAATATATTAGTTTAACTACCGGTAATGGTGCCACAACACAGTTACGGTGCAACAGCTTACTCAAATTTAGCCTCAGTGCTTCAAAACAACGCTAAAAATTACTGGAATGATGGATAACTGTGCCACACACAATGTTGTTAAGGTAGTAACTGTGCTAGACAATAACTTTAGTACACTGGATAAGAGTGCAGAATACAGGACAAGTGCTCCACACACTGCTGAAATAAGCCTACAACGGTGCCACAAGTTTTAATAACCGTGCTAGTAATACTTTTAAACAAGTTATGTGAACACCATGGCTAGTATACATTCTACTAGTTAGGGAAATATATTTAGTAATAAATAGTAATAACAATTAAGATCACCTGAAGATTAGCCCCCCATGCTTATTTCACCTCTGATTAAACACCTTATTACTACCTGTGTGGGTCAGGTTAGGTTAGATAAGGTTAGATTAGGTTAAATTAAGTTATGTTACCTTTGTGGTGGTTAATATTAAAGGTAAAATAAGCTGAAGGCTAATCTTCAGGTGATCCGATGGTTGTTGTAATAATTGTGTCTACTATTATCATCATTATTAAATTAACATTAATTGTGTCTACTATTATCATCATTATTAAATTAACATTAATGTAAGTGTGTCTCACGTTGTTAATAAAGTCTCAAACGACTCAACACCTTGAGAAATATGGATGAAAAAGAAACAGATATTTCTCTGTCCCGTTGCCTTATTATTTCTGTAGAGCGATTTTGTTTTCATTGTCTGTGTTACCTTGTTGATAGTCGATCCAGGGAGGAGTGTCCCAAATGGTCACTTGAAGCTGTATACTTAGTGGTAGCGAATTGGTTTTTTAAATGATGGAAAAAATTTTGCTTTTGTTAATGTGAAGGTCAAGTACAGTGTCCTAATATGTGTTAACAGTGTCTTAATATGTGTTAACAGTGCCCTATTATGTGTTAACAGTGTCCTAATATGTGTTAACAGTGTCTTAATATGTGTTAACAGTGTCTTAATGTGTTAACAGTGTCTTAATATGTGTTAACAGTGTCCTAATATGTGTTAACAGTGTCTTAATTGATGTTAATGTTAGCAAAAGTGCTATAAATGATGAGAGAATGTTAAATGTGCCATATTTGAAGAATATTAACAAGATCACCATAATTGACGTCAAGAATAGTGACATAAATGGTGCTTTAGTATGATGGAGAGAGTGCCAGTATTCATAGAGATGCCAGGAACAAGTGCCAGAAACCTTTACAGTACTGATTAAAATGTTATCAGTTATTGTTAGTCCATATAACACTGATAATAATATTGGCAGGACGCGCGACACGAGTCCCTACTACTCAAAGCATAAATATACAGTCATGAAAAAAAAAAACGAAAAACCCAAATTTCAAAATGTAACCCATTTAAAATCTGGGCATTCGTTTTGGATGACCCTGTATGTGTATATTACCAGAGTGAATTAAAAATGTATTGTTAATTATTATTGACATCATCCCCATAGAGAGTTAATGGTTGTTAGTCTACACTGTATTTTTTTTTATCGGTTTATACAGTGAGTGTATTAACGAAGCTAATGGTGGTTTAGTACATTAATATTAACGATAAGTTGGGTTGATACATTAATGGTCCTGGTTAATAGGTTTGTATTAACCTTTTTTTATATATAGATACAAAACGTCATGTCAATATTACACCTCAGAACGCCGAGAAATATTTTAATTATCGTTACCTGCCCGAGTGATGGCTTGAAGTGTAATTAGACATGTTTATTAAGGTATGCATAATTAGTTTTATTTTGTCCATTTACTATTTTCAGTTATTCGAATTAAAAAGGTTTTATTTAATATATTTAGATGTTTACTTTCATGTGCATTTAACGGTTATGAGTTATGAGTTCGCTTGTGAATGTAGTTATGTTATTGTTTATGTCAGATGTTTACCTGAACGTCTATAGTAACGTACAGTATTTAATTAGTATGTTCTTTATTTTCTCTTGTTTGCCTTGTGTTCAGTTTACACTCACTCAAAAAAAAATCTACAATTATAAGTGAAAGAATATGACACAACGGATGAAAGATTTTGACAACTTCACCGAGACAACAGGAGTCGTAGTGTTGATCATACTGAAGTTTATCCGACCCCTCCGTATAGATACTTATTTGGAGCGAGTGTATTATGGGGTATATATATACTTAGAGCTTGTCTTATTTAGTGTATTATTATGACGTGTTTGGTGATGTGTGATTCATTTGTTTTAAGTGACGGAAGACTTTAAAACGAATACTATTGGTTAAGTTAATCTTCACTTTTTTTTAACTCGTGTTAGTAGTCAAATGAATCTTAGCTATTTAGTGTGTATGGATTATATTTAATTAATTAAACTGTGTGATAGAATAACCATTATTACTATCACTGGAAATAATTAATCATAAATTTATGGTTTGGCAATTCTTATTAACACCCAGAAATTGATCGGTCACCAGAAGTAAACAAAAGTGGTTTTTATTTCCGTGTTTATGATTTATTTTCGTGTAATTTTCGCTCTTTTGTTTCCATCTAGAGCTAATTAATGTAAATGAAGACTAATATTTTATTGTTCAAAGTTATGAGATATTTTAGTGTTTTAATCTACTGTTGTTGAAATATTTCCTTGATTTAATCCCTATTTGCTCTTTTAAAGCAATGTGCGAATGTGTTTTTTTGGGTGGTGTGTTATTGTTTTACTTCCTGTATGTTAACTGTTGTTTGGAATGTGTACTAAAATTCCTCCTAGATCCAATAAGAAAGTTGTATTAATTTATCATGGCAATGGGGTCACTTTATGGCTGAGAATGTGTGTGTGTGTGTGTGTGTGTGTGTGTGTGTGTGTGTGTGTGTGTGTGTCAACGTACTAATCAAGAACTGAAATGTAAGAATTAATGAGTATAACAGTAATTTACCTTTACGTGTCCTGAGTATGGGTGTATGTCCTGGACACGTAAACTATGGAAATGTGTTAAACTATTTCAGTCGTGAATGATAATAATCAATAAATATCTATAAAAATATAAATATTATCGTCATGAATGTGTAATAAATGCATTGATGAAATATATTACTATTGATAACATGATATATGGTGAAGACCGTTTATATAGCGACTTATATACTTTACCAACACTTTATTGTATTCAAGTTTAAAGGTTAAAAAGTAATATACATTTTATTTCGAGTTACAGAAACTTCTACTTTCTACTTTAGTATTCATTAAAACTTTTTGCTATTATTGCTATTGTTTATATCATCAATTACGATACTACTAGTTATTTTTATATTAATCACTAGTCTAAATCACACATGAAATAAAATACTAGTCTACTTTTGGGCATTTATTCAAACTCATTCTACTATGATATTTAGGAATGTTGTGAGAACGATCAAGAACGCGTGGAGTGAATGTTGACAATCTTTTGTTCTCATAGACGTGGACTATTGTATTGCTTATAGTTCCATTACGATTATTTCACAGTTTTTTACAGAGTTACATTTTTTTTCCACAAGCACGACTTCAAAGAGTTGACACGGCCGCCTCAATACCCGGATTTAGAGGGTCAACACAGCCCAGCCGCTACAACACCCGGCTTTAGAGGGGTCAACACAGCCGCCACAACACAGCAAGGGAGGTGAGCGTGAGGGCGAGTCATTACAGGGCTGTAGAACCACACACCACCACAGAAAGTTTATAATGATGACAGCTATAATTACTGCTCTGGTTGATTACAAGGCATTCCAGCACCACCCCAATACATACACACACTCTTGTTAAATTCTCTCATACTTCCTTACTTCCTTCTTCTCACGGCTCTTATAGGACTTTTGTTGACTTCTCCTATCAATGCTTTTATTTTAACTAGCATTTTAAGGTTTTTTTCTAACTTTTTTTTTTATAATTTTATTTTGATATTAATAAGAAATGCAAGTCCAATGTTTGTTATTGTCGGCCGTCATATTGTTACCTTGAGTTTGTTTACGTTTTGGGTAAAGTCGTTTTTGAGATGTTGCTGTTTTTTCCTATTATTATTATTATTATTATTATTATTATTATTATTATTATTATTATTATTATTATAACCCTTAACAGACATGCAAATAACATGTAATAAAGGTAATATTAAACATTTTCCTTATAATAGCTTTTAGGGTTTTAAGTAATCAACACTACTTAAAGCTTATCCCAAACTACTTAAATTTAGGACATTACCATTCAA